TACTTGAGGAGCATAAATACTTATAATATTAAAAATCTTAGTATCAATGATAATCTTAAGGGCTATAATTCTATCTCCAACTCTATTAATTTTTACAACATTATCTTTCAAACTCTTATCTATAATTACACCCACACCATTTCTAGTGCGACTCTTACCAGAATATCGAAATTTAAAACCTAAGTTATCAGTCTCCTTAGTTTTTTCTCCAACTCATTCAGTTTCTTTCGAAATTTAAAACCTAAGTTATCAATCTCCTTAGTTTTTTCTCCAACTCATTCAGTTTCTTGAATACATAAGATATTAATCTTTCTATGAATCATTATATCAACTAATTCCATTAATCTACTATTGAGAATATTTATATTCCAAGATTCTATCCTAATATTAATTTCATTAGTTTTACAGACTAATTTCTTTACCCGTATCCGTCCGTAATGTGGGAACCCTTGCTAATTTGACACTACACCCCGGCGCCGGTGTAGTGACCCTTGCACACTTTTCACTGTATTCAGACTATACAACGCGTCGCTTCCAGGGGACGCCCTAACACTCATAAAAAGATCAAAAAGATTCATGTCATGATTTTTTTTCGACAAATTTTATGCATTTTATGCTGGCTGTCGACTAGACTACCTAACGCAATTCTCCACTTTTCACATCCGGGCTTGAGACCGACAATGACAATGTTAATTAAATAGAATTTTTTTTAAGACCTTATTTATCCTACTAACCTTTTTATCCCTCAATGTATTTGGTTTAATTATAGAATTCCAATTCTCCCTTTGGCAACTAATCTCAAATGACTAACAACTTCTCACTTTCAGTTCTCATCATCTTATTCTAAGATAGTTATTTCTTTTGATTCATTTCTTTTGGTACTTAAAGCATAAACAAACATTAATCTTAACAATATTTGTAGAAAGATAAATATTTCCTTTGTAATCTAGAGCTCTACTTTTGAACGTAATTATATGTTCTTACTATTTTTTAAAGCATGAATTTTCTATAATAAGATCATACACTACTGTGAAATCGAGTATTGTCTTACGTTGTATTTTATTTCTTATTTCATATCCGTCATGGTTCATCTTATAGCCTGCTCCATTAGAGCCTTGTTGTCCAAACAAGTCATCACCAATAATTCTTCCTTTTATAGCCCATCCCATTGTACCCATTGTATTAACTTATACATTCATGCTTAAAATTAAATTTTTTTTAATTAACTTCTAAACTGATTCAATGAGCATAAACAAGCCACATGTATAATATCATCATCGATAATTAAATTAATAGCATCACTCAATCACTAATATTATTCACTTTAACCTTGTTATCTTTTACTTCTCATCCATTATTATCTCGGCCTTATTTTATTGTTGGGTATTATAAGTTTGCCCTCACATTTTAGTGGCTTGCAAACCTGCATATTTACTTTCATCCATTGTGACTGTTAATTTATCCAGTTCCCCATTTCAAATTTCTTAAATTTTATGTAGCAAATTTAATCGTAATTTAATGACTACTCAACTCTTATCTCCTTTTAGTGGCAGTGGGTTTAAATTGTGGAGTGACAATCTAGCCAACTTTTGCAAGGTTCTCATAATAATCAGTTTATTTGTAGCATATCACTTAATGGTTGATATTTAAACAAACACTTGTCTATTTAAATCATTACGGTTAGTTTGATGAATACCCTACTATTAACAATATTCAAATTTGGATTAATTTTATGCATTTTGGTCTAAATTTGATGAGTGTATGCTCACTTAAGATCAATTCTTAACTTTTCTCATCAAAATTGGAGACTTGACATTGCAAAAAATAAATAAATAAATAAATAAATAATAAATAAAAATAAAAAAAGAAAAGAAGTTCAAATGCCCGTGAAGGGTTCTGGTTCAAATCAGGGTAAGTTCCATGCAAACTTAATTTCAGTTATTTTAAATATAACTGTAAACTGGATCCGGTTGAGGTTAGGAATCTAAATAGCATTGTATCTGATTGCACCTTAATTTGATTTTTATATGATTGAGGGTGGAGGAAGGCCATGCACACATTTTGTTGGTAAGTTATGGCATTGACACATCACTAAAAGATAGCTACATTAGGAGTGCGGTAGCCACCTATGGCTAGAGGAAATCAAAAAATGATTGTGTTGATGGTTACGTCAGAAGTTGGGCATCATGGTGAAGGGGAACCGAAGATTCATGATTGTGGTCATGTGGAAGTCACATAAAATTATATACATAATTAGGTGATCAATGAAAGCTTGGGGAAGGGCTGGTGTTGACGAGGACTATTGTGCATGGTTAGGATTTGGGAATGGGCGGGGCATCCACTTGAGCCCACTATGAATGGGGGAAGGGTGGAAGGCAAAGAGATAGATAAAGGGGAGTTCTATTGTGTAGACATGGAGCGATGGGCAAATGGTGGTAGTGGTTGGTTGACTATTGTTCAGGGTCATTTGTGGAAACGAAGAGAAGAGGGATGGAATGAGAGGGGAAGAGAGAGAAAGGGTTTTACAAGGGTTAAGTTTTGGGTTTTTTTGGAGTCACTATTGTAAAACATTTAATAATCAAGATTAGGACAAGTAGTTGAGGTCAGGACCATATAACCTTGGCCGTTTAAGTTTTTAATTGAATGTGGTTTACCCCAAATTTGAGTTTCTTCTCATGCCTTTATCAAGTTGCCATGGGATTTGAGGTCAAAAGTTGCCTTATTTTCACACTTGCTTTGTTTGCTTGGCCTGTTTATTTTTTCTTTCTCTAGCATTTTGTCATGGCAAAGTGTCTCTCGACTTCTGTTGATCTGCTGCACAACTTAAGATGATTATGCCGGTAGGCCATCTTTGGACAATCTTATTTTCATGTATGTCTGAAAATGTGCTTGTAACGTTATTATGTCTCATATTTCGTATAAACCTTCCAATTTTTTATTTTTTTCTCTTTGCTGTTTACATTTTTTCTAGGTTTTTTTTATTCTTCTTTCATGATTTAAGCTGAACAATTCATACCATTTCCTTCTGATGATGACCACAGCCCTTACTCTGGCCAGTTCAGTGGCGAGAACATTAGACTCGGTTCTCGTGGTGATAGCTACTACGAATATTTGATTAAAGTTTGGATTCAACAAAAGGATAGCCGTAACAATCAACTGAAATATTTACACGACATGTATGAGGAAGCTATGAAAGGGGTCAAGCACCTTCTCGTCCGGAAGTCTACACCTAAAGAACTGGTTTTCATCGGAGAGCTGCCATATGGATCTAAGGGCTCCTTCAGTCCAAAAATGGATCACCTTGTAAGTTGAAAGTTTTTCATGTAGCCAATTTGTTTTGCTGGAAGATTAATCTTCATATGTGTAGCAATATACCATAAAGTACATTTGTTATGGTAATACTTTAGGAGCACTTACATTCATACCACCAAATTCCTATTTGTTGTGTGTCATAAAATTGTGGCGATGGAGTGATAATCTAATGTTTTAGTATTGCAAGAATATCCAACACACACAAATAAAAAAAAGTACCAGAATGAGACACCAAGATTTTTTACTTGAAAAAATTCAGAAAAGGAAAAAAATTATGGAGTTCCCAATCAAAGTAATCCACTATATGATTGTAAGTGCATATGTTCTTTTTTCTCCTAAATTAGAGAAAAAGAAATTATAATGCTGATAGTTACGAATGTACAATAGTAGTTCAATTATAATATAGCCTAATTGGGGTACAAGAAATATAGTTGATCATGAAGGTTGTAGTAGTGGTTACAATAGCGTTGCACGAACATCCGACATATGCACATAAAGAAAAAAAGTAGTAGACACCAAGATTTTTTTCGTGGAAAAATATTTAAAAGAAAGAAATAATGGGGTCTAGCCCAATCAAAGTAATCCACTATATGATTGTAAATACATATGTTCACTCTTCTTATAAATTATAGAAGAAGAAATTAAAATGTTGATAATTACAAATGTACAATAGTAATTTAACTATAATAGCTTAACTAGGGTACAAGAAATATAGTTGATCATTAAGGTTATAGTCGGTGGCTACAATAGCGATAGTTGACCACAGAGACTGTAGTTGGAAGTTGTAACGGTAGTAGTCTGTCACAAAGATTGTAGTTGGTTGTTGTACAAACATTAGTTGGTTACAAAGGCTATGGTTGGAAGTTGCAATATTGTCAGTTGGTCACAGAGGCTGTAGTTAGAAGCTTTAATAGTAGTTGTCAGCCACAAAAGCCATAATTGGTATTTGCATAGACAGTAGTTGGCCACAAACGTCATATTTAGAAAATGCACTATAGTCAGTTTGCCATAGATGTTATAGCTGGTGATTGCAATAATGTCGTTTGAACATAGAAATCGTAGTTGAAAGTTGTGATAGTAGTAGTTAGCCACATGGGTTGTAGATAGTTGTTGCACAGATAGTAGTTGGCCACAAAAGCTGTGGTTGGAAGCTGCAATATCGTCATTTAGCCACAAATGTCATATTTGGTGACTACAATAGCGTTAGTTGGTCATAAAAATTGTAACAATAGTATTTGGTTATTTATTTCGCAATTGTTGAGTGGACCCCTTCTCTCGGGAGAACAGGGTTATAATTTTACACCAAACACTTAATTTGTCTCTATACAACGTAGACAAAAATACAGGTGTTAGGAACAACTGTCGTATTTTGGCTATGATGGTTATAAGCAGTAGTTGTCGGTGGTCGATGACTGGTGAGAGTAGGTGGTGACGACTGGCAATAGTCGATGATGGTCGAATAGAGGCTGGAGGTTTTCTCTGAGTTTTCAATACAGGTGTTATATATTACAGTTGTATTTTGAATACAATGTTTGCAAATAGAGATTGTCAGCAGCAGGAGGTCGGGGGTGTCAAGCAATGAAGGTGACTGTGACAGTGGCTAGCGGGCAGTGTTCGGTGGTGGCAAACGACTATGGATGTCGGAAGTTATCGTTGATTCTTCAATACAAATAATGTACATTACAACCGTATTTGAGATAAGATGTTTGTGAACAGGGTTAGCAGGATGTCGGCGGTGGGAAGCAGTGACTGCCAGCAGTGAATAATGATGGCCGACGGGCATTCATCAACGACTATAGTGGCTGCATGTTATCACTGAGTCTTTAGTCCAAAACGAGCTCATGAATTCCTTTTGCCCCAACACCCCCCCCCCCCCCCCCCGAAGAGAGGGAGTCTATTTATAGGCTCTCGAAAAGGAGCATTTTGGTCATTTGACGCTTAAATTTCTTAACTACCTGATCAAATGATTCATATTGATCTTCCTTTATTATAGATGAGTTTTTTGATGATTTTAATGTCTTAATGACCTCACATTTAACAATCTTAGGATCATTGGATTTCTCTCATCGAGACGTTCAATTTGACCATAAATATGTCAAATTTGGAGTTCATTTGACCATTTAATTGACGATCCAAAATCTCCAAATGTGCTTCAATGGCTTGATTGGACCAAGATTGATCTAACTTTGATATCTTTGTGTTCGTCTTGTGGAGACAGTCAGTTTGACAGCAAGCTTGCTAAAAACGGGGGGCCCAAAATGTTCTTGAATTTGAATCTGGAACGTTTATTGTTAAAAAATGCACTGGCATTCGTGCAAGATAAAAATTTTTTGATTACGCATTATTATGTATTTACATATCTGCCACATAAACTTTGCCTTCTACATTTGCACGACCCAAATCTTTCATATTAAATAAAAAAATACCACCATACTGACTTTTCAAAGGTGAAATACACCTTTTCATGCATTTCATGCATAGATAGAGTGATATGTTTGTAAAAATTGAAGTTTAGGTGTTAGACATGTAAATGCATAGGAATTCAGTGGTATGTATGCAAGTCTTCATATACTTTAACTCATGGCTTGTAGATTTTCCATTTTCGCTGTTACAAGTCCTGAATTTGCACCATGTTGGTGCACCTAACTATCTTGCAGGTGTGTTTCCTTCCGGGTACCCTTGCTCTCGGTGCAACCAAGGGCCTTACAAAGAGAAAAGCAATAGAACTCAATCTGCTTACTGATGAAGAATTGGAAAACTTATCTCTTGCTGAGGATCTGGCCAAGACATGCTTTGAAATGTATTCTGTTACTTCAACAGGTCTAGCTCCAGAAATTGCCTATTTCAATATTGAGGTGAGTTTGTTGAAGATGTGTGGGAGGATTATTTCAAAAATATCTTATTTTTTTAGGGCTTGTGATCAATTTTGTTTTTTGTTTTTGTTTTCATCTTTTCTTTTGTTTTTAAAACATGTTGGTTATGCATGTTCTTTATATGTTTTAATTTATTGTTTCTAAAAGTAAATTAATTTTCTCAAAATTACGTTTAAATGTTCCCAGTGTTTGAAAAAACAATCATATCTTAATCAAATATGTCAAATATGTTGGGTTTCAATTCAAAACATAAATAAAACAAAACAAAAATAAAAAATCAAATATGTTGGGTTTCAAATCAAAACATAAATAAAACAAAACAAAAATAAAAAATAGAAAACATAAAATAAAAGTGATCCCAAACGGCCTCTTAAAGTCTTGCTTATTGTTTCATATTTCCCATCTGTGATTCTGATGGTCTACTTTGTTTTAATTATTTTGAATTTAGGGTAATTCGGAGCATGGTCTTGATGGTGGCAACAAAAGTTCAGAATATGTAAATGACATAATAATTAGGCCCAATGATCGGCACAATCTTTTGCGACCTGAAACTGTGGAATCCTTATTTGTACTCCATCGCATTACTCAAGATCCAAAGTAGGCTTAAGATCTTTAGCTGCTTTGTGCTCTTTTAAATGATTTAATTGTTGGGGCATTTACATACATAGCACACAATTCTTATCTATCTCACGCCTAAACTCTCATATTTAAATACATACCACTCAAATCTTTAATTTCACATAAAAAATAGCACTATTATCACTTTTAAAAGTGAAATACACCTTTTCATGCATAGGTTTAAAGCACCCAAGTGCATGTAAATATGAAAGTTTCGGTATGAAATATGTAAGCCCATAAGAATTGTGTGCTAGCTATGTAGATTTGTGAATGAAAGAGATGTTCTTGCAACTTTAAAAATAATGTTCACGTGCTTGCAGATATCGGGAATGGGGTTGGAAGATCTTCCAGGCTTTTGAAAAACATACCAAGGTGGATTCCGGAGGTTACAGTTCTCTAAGTGATGTCACAAGGATTCCCACTCATAAAAGAGACAAGATGGAGACTTTCTTCTTGGGAGAAACCTTGAAGTATTTATATTTGTTATTTGGAGATGATGATATTCTTCCTTTGGATAAGTATGTTTTCAATACAGAAGCACACCCTTTCCCAATTATTTGAGGGAAAAGTGAACATACTCCTCTTGCTTTTTAAGCTTGGAGGAAATTAGTGGGACTGTTTACTTTTTGGATTATAGAAAAAAGGTGTCTTTTTCTTTTTCTTTTTTTTTTCCAGGTAGGGCCTCAGGTTTCATATGTTCATAATGTCTTTTAGCCAGACAGATGAAGTAGAATTTTCATTTTCCTTCATTTATAAGCTGAGTTTATGAGGCTGAAAAGCTATTAAGTTTAGGGGATTGATGAGAGAGATTTCTGTATGATTTTGAAAAATAGTAGTAATTGTAACTTGTAACTGATGAAATTTCCACGTAAATTGCTTAATGTTAATTCAAAGGTTATCTTCCTTTTTTTCTATGTTATTCTTTGTCAATATTGCATACATAAAGCATAATTTGAAAAAATAACTAGTTCCATTCTTCCCAACATTGGTTATATTACCCTTTTGGTGTAAATGCAGATTATTAATGTTCCTCAACTAGATACAAATGGTCTCCATCTCGCACTGCAATGATATCATCTGTTTCTGCATTCTACTGATTCACTACTTTTGTAGGATTACAACCCACCCTCAAACTTCTAACCTGCAGTTTTCCAGGTTACAGGTAAAGTTAGAATGCATATTTTTCTGAGGAAAAAAAAAAGCTTTTCAGTACTAATCTGGCATTTATAAGTAGAAATTATGTACATATTTGAATGTCTAGTAACATATGTGCCTGTTATTTTCGATGGTTGAGCGATTTTAAATTAATTCTCTTGTTTCTTTGCTAAATTTGTTATATTTTCAGGTTTAAATCAATGATTTTGCTGAAAGATGCCAGACTTACTGCTTATTCTGAGAAGCTCTTCCACAGATTCAGGTAGAATTATCAACTTCCCCAATTTTCATCTTGATTTACATGCCACTTCAGAAGGCGCATGAATGATGATTCTTTTATTTACTAATCTCAAACTAACACTGCCTATTGGCTGTGTTCCTCTTTCCTGAGTAAGTCCCACTTTTTCATATTGCAAGCATTTGAAGCTGGGATCTAATTCTATGTTTCTTTGGATCTGATTTTTGCTGATACTGTTGGTAATTTTTGGCTGTTTGTTTTCAATTTTCATTCTATTCTCCTGTTCTGATAAAAAACCTTGGGACTCAAACATAGATTTTACCCAGCCACAGTGTTATGTTTCATCCAAGTTTGTTTTTTGCTTTAGCAGCGGCCTCCTCTTTTCATAATTTCTCATTTAGATCAAATTGAAATTAGTTATGTTGCGGAGGACTTTGTCTGCTAGGTCTACTTCACCATCCTCAGTTTTCTTTGAAATCATGTTTCCTTTAGCCATGGATCTTCCATAAACTACGTTGTTTTCCTGGTACTCTGACCATTCTCTGAGATATGATAATGATCCTAAACCTTGGTATTGCATTTTTGATAAATTTTCTTGAACCATTCATCAGATATTTATGTAATCAATGAGAAACTTTATGTAAAGTCCTGTATGTTGTAGTTTGGTAAATTGTTCACCAACCACTTGGTTTGCTGGACTCCAAGGTCCAAATCCTTGCCCAAAAAGAAAATTTTGGCAAACCAAATCAATTTGATACCTGGCAAAGGTTGTTTATGATAGCCCCATCTCTTATAACTTCTCGGACAATATTGATAAATGTAGTTCTACCGAGTCTTAGAATTTCTGAGAGCTCAGTGGTAGTTATGGTGCATGGCTGAGGGGCATCAACAAAGAACACCAAGTTTCTCCAAAAATGTCGCCAGCATATGCCTTTCCCTGAACCTGGTCAAATGTGGCCAGCGTTGGAGGGACCACATTGTCAAAAGAGATGTCTGACAAGTGGATACATTTAGAGTTGGCATAAGGTCTCCCTATACTTGGGTGACAGTTTTTTTTAGTGGAGGACACATTTAGACGTATACAATTTGCATCTTGTTTAATTTGTTTTACTTCTGCTTTACTTATTCTATTTTTCTATATTTTAAATCTGTCTCTCTTGGGCTTTAATATGAGCTGGTCATGACCATATTTGACAATGCGTTTCGTCCCTTGGTTCTGTTAGTGCATGATCCAAAACGTCTGAATTTCTTACATACTTTACTCTTTGCTATTTAGAAAGTCAGCTGAAAAAGTGCAACAAATATGAAAAATCATTGACTATATGTGATAAAGCTAGGAAGAAACTATAAACTATAAAAGTTAAAGGTGAAATGGTTGCAATGGTTTGTTGTATATACATCTATGGAGAAAAATAAAGGAAATATATGTTATCAGTTTGGCCCACGAGCTTGGACAGGCGAGCTGGTCAATTTTATGTGGGAGGATTTGTGAAGAAAACATAAGGGCTAAAGGCTTGAGTAGAAACCAACTATGATGGGTAATACTAGAATATATTTTAGGGGCATTTACACGCATACTACCCAATTCCTATGTGTTTACATATTTAACACCTAAACTTTGCTTTTTACATGTATAACACCCAAATCATTCATATCACATAAAAATTACCATCATTTTTACTTTTAAAAAGGGAAATACACCTTTTTCATGCTAGGTATGGCATGTATGCAAAAATTGAAGTTTAGGTGCTATATATGTAAAAAACATAAGAATTGTGTGTTATTTAAATAAATTTTTCTATATTTATTGTCAAACTGGAAAGGAATTCCTTACCAGATGGTTTTTATGACGTGAATGGCTTTGTAATGGAAGATTTTATTTTATTTTATTTTTATTATTATTATTATTTTTTATTTTTAATGAATAACTTGATTAGAAGTCATAAAAAGTTTAGATAACTTAAACCCAAATGAAGCTCTTTAAAAAATAATTGGCAAAGAAGCGCAAGTGACCATACTGGTTCGAATAATGATAGTATGTGATAATGATATATAACCACCAAAATTTGCTCGGTTCTTGTGTTTATGGAAGAAAGACTTAACTCGCTGAATTCCATTATCATTGACCTTGATATCCTGCGACAAATTTAGACTAAATAAGTCAACTTTCTTAAATGATATTGGGAAAGAACTGTAAGGAATCTGAGCCACAACTAACCACTGCTTCTTATACGAGTATATAAAAATCTGGTGGTGCTTCATTTTGGTTAACCACATCTTCTCTTGAGGGGAAATGATCGGCATCCATTTCTGCAACCTGTATTTGGCATGAATTTGTATGATAAGGGCAACAGATGTGCAATTGAGCCTAGTTTGAGAGAATTTGGTATTTATTTGTGTTCAGCTTGTTCAATTTTTTTTTTAGCTTGAAATAGGCTCACGTTTGAAACTCTTTGTTAATAACATATTCGTGTTCGGCTCAATTCAAATTCGTTTATTCATTTTAGCTCGTGTTCGGCTCGATATTAGCTCGAATCATTAAAAAATAATAAAGTTTATCATTTTTTAAAATAAAACATAATTTTAATATAAGAATATTATAATATTATTATTTATTTAATTATTTAATCAATTAGGGCCAAAATGAGCTGAACGCGATAGAAAAAAATTCATTCTTCTTCGATTTATTTATATTCAAACTAAAAAATTTGTTCGTGCCTTAGACTCTCACCACTTGAATAATGAAATTGTGAGAAACTCCATTGAAAAGATATACATCGAAAAAATAGGGAGGTGGTGATGCTCGACAGAATTCTTTTTGGGAGGCCAAGCAAGGCTTCTTGGTGTATGAGTTCTTCTATCTTGAATTGCAGGTATATGTGAGATATCTTTTGATCCTTTATTTGTTTTGTTAACTGATTTCTTGCTGCGAATTCAGATGCGTTCTGGATTGCATCCCTCTGTTATATTGAAAAGAAATTGTTAGCACCCGTATAATGTATGCATTTAAATTCCCCTTAATTTTAATCATAAACATATTAATGCACATGGTAGAATATAAATGCTTCCTTGACTTTTCCAAGAGAGAGTGTCTGTTGACTTTGATTCAAGAGTCAAATGCCAGTTATGGTTAAATCTCAGCATGCAGTTTATCTCTGCTTTTATGCATTTACATACATAGCACACAATTCTTATCTATTTACACATCGCACGCTTAAACTTTCATATTTACACACATAACACTCAAATCTTTAATAGCATATAAAATTTAGCATTCTTACCACTTTAAAAGTGAAATATACCTGTTGATGCATAGATTTAAAACACCATGGTACTATGTATGTGAATATGAAAGTGTAGGTGTGAGACATGTAAATACAGAGGAATTGTGTGCTAAATATATAAATTTCCCTTTTTCTTAACTTGTTTTTACTTCTTGTACTTGTCATCTTTACCATTATCCCGACTATTTAGCATTCGAGTTTTTCCTCAAATACTTGTCTTCTTCCTTATTCCTTAA